TTGGAGACCAGGCTGGCCTCGAACTCACAGAGATCCGCCTGGCTCTGCCTCCCGAGTGCTGGGATTAAAGGCGTGCACCACCACCGCCCGGCACCTTTTCTTTTCTTAACTGAATCATTACATTATTAGAAAACAGAGAAAAACATAGTGTTCCTCAAAAGAGAACCATCATACTACCAGGAAGAATAAAAAAGAAAAAAAAAGTAACATTAAAATAAAAATAGGCAGTGGATCTCTGGGAGTTCAAGGCCAGCCTGAAGGCCAGCTTGGTCTACAGATCAAGTCCCAGGACAGCCAAGGCTACACAGAGAAACCCTGTCTTGAAAAACAAAAACAAAAACAAAACAAACAAAAAATAAATAAAGACAGGCTTAATGGTGTATACCTTTAATCCCAGCACTCAGGAGGCAGAGTCAGATGGATCTCTGTGAGTCTGAGGCTTCACAGAGTTTGTTCTACATCATGAGACTCCCTACCCCCATTTCAATAAACAAACAAAAACCAAGAGCCATAATCTCTACAGGGCAATCTGACAACTAAACGGAACCCGAACTTTATAAACACCCTGGTAGTCACTCTCAACATTCCTTCTCTTGATCCACAAACTGAGGCACAAGCCTCAGTGGCCGAGATACTGAGGTTTCTGTTCACTTCTTCATACAGTTTGCTCAAAGAATACGTGGAATCATTTGCAGTTTAAAAACTCTGTGTGTCATATATGGTTGTGACACCTATAAAAATGGAGAGCTTCTCAGTTGGCTTCACACAAGCTCTTGTGAGTAACATTTTTTCATAGTCTATGCTATAAAAAACATACCAACCTATCACCAGGTCCTGCTCGGTATCTTGCACCAGGGATCAGGACTGGGTCATCATCACTGTCATCTGTGTCCTGGAGAGCAGAGTCCCTGGTTGATGTGTCTTCGTGAGCCGAAGGCCCGATGGCTTCTGTTTGGGATGGGAGTTCTGGACTGGCGCTACCCTGACAGGCAGCACTCTCAGTGCCAGGCTGCTCAGAGGCCTCCTTGCCTGTTTCAGACAGAGTGCCTTCTTCTGGGGCCCCACAAGGGCTGTCAGGACTTGGGTTATTCCTTTCTCCTGAGTTAGGATCCAATGGCTCAGCTGTGGAGTTATCAGATTGTGCTGTCAGAAAACAAAGTCGTATGTAAGTTAGCACATGTCCGTCATTACATACTTAACTTAGGAGCTGACATATTCTAATAGGGAGAGTCTGATTCCTTCACAAATGAGGAATACGGCACAGCCATTGTTTAGAAGTGACCTTTGCCTCTGGACAGATTTACACAGATTAAGGCTGTTTAGTTTTGTATATGAGCCAATTTCCTAAAGACAGCGAGATAACCCACCTATGTCTATCTGGTTTTGAGTGAGGTTTTCTGAAAATGTTCCTTTCTCTGATAGTTCTTCAGGAGCTCCTAGAATTAAACAAAATTATCATTAAATCTAGTTTTTTAAAGAAAAATAAATATAAACATAACACCCCAACATTCCTTTAAATAAATGGCTCTTAATTCTATCTGGGTCATAGAAACCTTTAACATTCAAATAAAATCTCACTCCAGGGCCCCAGAAAATGGCTCAGCGGCATTTGCTAAGTGCAAGCCTGGAGACCTGAGTGTGATCCCTAGAACCCAAGTAAAGGTAGACAGAGGGAGCTGCCTTCACAAAGTTGTCCTCAGACCTCCACAGGCATGTACTCCACACAATAAAATGTAAAAATAAAACAAAATCTCACTCTACAAAGTGTTGGCATTTAGACATCTGTACTGGCTTGCCCTTAGGGTTCTGACAGGATAGGTCCTCTGCTGCAGCCACTAAGAGCACCCACCGTCAACATTTGCTACTTTCCCTTATAAAAGGCGGGCCTTGCCTATGTCCATCTCTTCCTCTTCCTTCCCTCTCATCCCCAGGGACTGTTCTCTGCCCCCTTTCTGGCCCCTTCTTCGCCCTTCCCCCAGTAAACCTCCCACATGAGCCCTGTTGTATGGCATGACTCCTTCTTGCTGCTTTTAGACCACAACACAAAGAACGAACAAAAGTGACCCATTGTTGGGGAACAGAAAAAATAGGTGGATATTCAGCACTGAGGTTTCTTATAAGGAAAACAATCAAAATAACCTAACTTGTTTCACTGTCTCCTTCAGGTGCTGGCACAGAGCTCTGTGGGACCAAGGATTCCTCCTGACCCTCAGATTTGCAGTGGCTCCCATTTCCTCTGGAACTTGAGGTTGTACTGCTCCTATGTCACAAGAAGATAAGTGATTCTATCAACGGCGAACCAAAGAATTTTATACTTTACAACTTAAAAGTATATTAGAGAATTCAGAACATAAGTACTTGAAAAGCCATTTTTTTTAAAAAAGAAATCATGGTGACTTCCAGTACACTTCATCTTAGAAAGACTTTTTAAATGAGGGCATTTTTATTTACTATTTGATGCTGCTAGTCTGCTACACACTTCTACATGTCCTTTAATGAGACTGTGTGTGTGTGTGTGTGTGTGTGTGTGTGTGTGCATGTGCATGTTCACTGAGCATTACAGTTTTATAAGAAGAGAGTATATTTTTATTTTAATTTTACTATCTACCTGATGATGGCCATAGTCCCATTAGCATTTCTGGCTATGGCACATTATGAAACCCATTCAAAAATTTTTAGTAAGTATTCCATAAGAAATCATGGCATATGTGTAAGGAGAGGGTTGATAAGGAAAGAGGAAAATGTCTAACAACCTGAGACTAAAATCAAATTTAGAGCCAGTGAGATGGCTCGGGGGGGGGGGGGGCCGCGGCGAGGTGCTTATTGCCAATCCTGATGACCGGATTTGATGGCTAGAACCGACAGGTGGGAAGAGGGAGACAATTCCCCCAAAGACAGTGTCGTTGGCTCTCCACATCTGTGCCATGATGTGCACCGCCCCCCCCACATACACATGCAGAAAACAAATAAATGGAAAAGGCAAATTACTAGAGACTTTTGGCCAAGATTTTATAAAATTCCCTTTAGCCAAATTACAAAAGTCAATTTCATATTTTTTAAAGTGTAGATAAAATATGATATTATTTTAAACAATATATTATACCTACATGGGTATATATGTAGGAAAAAATGTCAGGGGGTTTGTGAACCTGCCTGAAGTGTCATCTCAGTAGGATTATTTCAGTTAAATATTTCATGCTGTTTTTTTTTTCTTTGTAAAGAACATGGATTTCTTTCTTTCCTTCTTCCTTCTTTTTAATATATGGCTATTTTGCCTGCATATATGTCTATGTAGCACATGGTTGTCTGGTGTGTGAAGCAGCCAGAAGAGGGAGGGTATGTGATCTCTGGATATGGAGTTATAGATGGTGGTGAGCCACCATGAGTGCTGGGAACCAAACCCAGGTTCCCTGGAAAAAACAACAAATGGTCTTAACTGATGAGCTGTCTTTCAGGCCCCTATGAATATCTTTTTAACCAGGAGAGAATACAAAGACACTGTGGAAAATAAAACCAAATATGATGCATTTTTTTCATCACTGAGAAAGCTATGATACAGACATAAATAAAATGCCAGAGTACAGTAGTTCTGATGATTAAAATGTTATGGTACTAACAGGAAAAGAGCCACTAATGGAAAGACACACACTCAAGTATACACTCAGCACAGTTAGAGGGCATTCTAAATCACAGGGAAATGAGGAGGCCAAGTGACAGCCTTGGGGACAGTAATGCTGTAACTCAGCAGCACACTTGCTAGAAAAAATAACTCCAGAACTAGTAAGGAGATAGTTTTACTATAAAACTATACAGAACACGAAAGTAAGATGAGAGACGGTTTTCCCCAATTCTGGGAGGAACAAGGCTTTTCTAAGATCACAGGCAGAAACCTTAAAGCAAAATCACTGCAAGGAAACTGAAAAACAGCAAACCTGGAAACCACTACAACAGATGTGAAACAAACGACAGCACCCTCCCCTGGTTCTACAATGGCTCTCGAAAGCCAGCCAGAGAGGATGGAGAGCACAGCAGAGTAACAATCTGTAAAAGATTACTGTTACAGCTATTGGGGCTTATCATACATACACACTACGTACTAAGTTTAATGTACTTTCTCTGCAAAATCCCATTAAATCTTGACAACAAACCTTAGAAATAGGCTCTTTTAAAAATGCCCTTTTCCATTTTAGAAAAATGGGATTAAGAGAGATTCCTCAGGCTGTCAAGTTAGAGTCCTCATCTGTCTTTAAAGAAACTAAAACTAAAAAGCAAGACACATACTGAAATAAAGAAAAGATGCATAGTTTTAATGTCCTGCTTTACTTTCAACAATATATTGAATATTTTAAAAATAAAAATGGTGATATTTGACAACTAATGAATGATAATATAATTTATGATCTTTTTTAAATGAAATTAGCACCCAAGGAAAAAAAGGAGAATAAGACTTAGAATTGTCTGAAGGCATTCTTTCGAAGAAGGCAGTCTCATATAGAAAGATGAGAGAAGAGACTGAGTAAATAATGAATGTGAGAACCTCGTGTTAAATTATCTATTATGGAACAGGGCCACAGACACCATGCTTTAAAACATTAGATAAACACTTGGGGTCATGAAGAAACCCCAGTGACGTCATCTTCAAACCCACATAGAATCGGATTCTTCACCAGCTCTGCGGCTCCCGTCCTGGCACAGCCCATAGCTCTAGCGACTTCTCACTCTGCTTACGGCCAGTCTTTCAGCCGGCACTGCCTTCTACTGTGGCACAACATGAACACAGCAAACAAAACTACCGCTGTGTTCTTAAACACCCCCTCACTTCCTGGATGACCTTCCTGTCGCTCATCTGTCTCTCCTCTGCTCACTCCATTTCACAGCCATGAGCTTCCTAAAAGATCCCTGAACATATAGGACTGCTCTGCTCAAACGTTATGCAGGATGTCTCTCTGCCTCAAACGTTCTTCCCCTACATGCACGCCATCTTCTCATTGATGACTGACCTTCCCTAGGTTTCCCGATTGTCCTTACCTGCTCTATTTTCTTCCATAGAACTTAGTGCCTTCCAAATGCTATACTGTACACTTATTTATTGTAATTATTGTCCGCTTCCTCCACCTAGAATGTAAGTTCCAGAGGGCACAGATTTTTTTTAAAACTATTTTTTCTTAAGCATTTCCAATGTCTAGAACAATCCTTGGCACACAGAAGGTCTTCAATAACATTTGAAATCCTATTTAATCAGGCTTTACTGTAAAATATATTGAAACATAAACACACATGGAGGCCAGTGAACTGAATAAAGTAACATATAATCACATATTAATCAATCACACAACATATAATTATGTATTAATAATATATTAACATGTGATATATTATTTGCACATAATATACTTTATATTATAATAACAGTATATGATGTATTTACATAAATTTAATATATTAACATGGCTTAATATATTAATGATAATTACAAGTGATTATAAATAATTGACATAATTATTGTATAATCCATTATATAATTATGCCAGCACACAATTATATATTTATAAATACCATATTGTCAACAAACATTCACAAATTGTTAATTAAACAAAGTTAAATAAAAATATTTGGGTAATGCTCAATCAAGAGGCCTTTAGATAGTGGGAAAGATAATAAAATATTTACATAAATTGATTTCTTAAATTTAAGAATCAACTAAATTAATACATGAACAAAATCAGAAATGTCATTAAAGACAACATATATAGCACTAAGTAAGTATAAAAGTCCAACCTTTCTAATAATAAATTAAATAACAAGTAAAATTATTTAAAAATCATGATAAAAAATACATTGAACAGAAGATTAAAATATGTTCATATACTACCAATGTAAAAAGAGAAAGTCCTTTAAAAATAAATTGGCAATATCTTTTGATCTAAATATAGTTCATTTCTGGAAATATCTCACAGATACGATGCCAATGGTAGGAAAAGTTTTAAAAAGAAAGACGTTTCCCTCACTGGGTTAAAAGTGATAAGTTTATTTTCCAATTTAAAGGGAATAAAGAATTAATCTAGAACATTCTACTGAATGTAGTAGTACAATTAGTACATAACCATTAGTACAAGTAACTAAAACAAGTATAAAGTTTAACAAATGCAGAACAGACTATATTCAGCATAATTAAAATAATGTTCTAAAATGCAAAAAAATCATGCACTTATGTATATATACATATATACACAGAGAGAGAAAGAGAGAGAGAACAAAGACTAAAATGTCTAAAACTAATGTAGGTGATTATATTACTGTTTGTATTTTCTATCAGAACAAACATCCCAGGATGACAAACACAATTTGCTTACATTGTTATAAATGTAAATTCTCAGGCCTGGGCTTGCACCTAATCAGCAGGTGGGACTTATTGATCTGTGGCGTTTTTTGAGTTTAACTTGTTTTGTTTTGTGCGCACATACACACACACACACACAATCCAGAGGAAGATGTTAGGGAGTCTTCTTCTATTACTCTTCACCTATTGGCTTGAGATGGTTTCTCACTGAACAGGAAGCTCACTGGTGAGCTCAAGCGATCTGCCAGTCTCTGCCTCCCAGTGCTAGGGTTACAGGCATATACAGGCATGTGCAGCCATGCTCCACTTTTTACATGGCTGCTAGGGATTCCAACTCTGGTCCTGATGCTCGCATAGCAAGGGCTCTTATCCACTGAGAATGAACTGTCTCCACAGACCCCCAATCTATGTATGTACAAGTTCTTCAAGGAATGGAAAGCACACTAGTTTCACAACCAATACAGTGTAGCAAAAACAAAACAGAAAATGCAGTACAGCTCTAATGTAACTCTACACAACAGCGAAGAATGTCTTCACAAAGACGGGAACTTACCATTCGTCTGTAAAGTTCAGTTTTATTGTGCTTGTAGTTGTTCCTTCTGTGCTGTAGTGCAAACTTAAAACTGGTTCACCTGTCCCTGGCTTGGGGCTCAGCCTTTCATTACTGTTATCTGAAAATTGCGTTTAAAACATTTGAAAACGTCTCTGAAACCAGTAAAAATATGACATTTCCTAAAATTTAAAAGAACTTAAGTTAGGTTGTTCTTGTCATCATTTTTGTTCATGTTAGGTTTTCCTTTAAAGTTCAAAGCAACATTATGAATTTCTAGCTTTGTGTATATGACTCCCTCATATTTAGAGGGAGATCAAATGCACTTAAAACCACTTTCATTAAGGAAGCAAGAGCTATTAGCATGCAATGACATACATAATACATGGAGCCTTACTTAATAGAATACCCATGATTTACTTTTTAGTTGCTTGAACATCAGAAAGGATTAGCAGCAGCTAAAATTTAAGAAAGATGAAAGGGCTCTGCACAGAGCTGCTCAGTCAGATGCTACTGAGATCTTCGTTCCTCAAGACATACTCTATGGCAAGGCAGCAGTCCACTGTGCTTTGGCATTTTCTAAAATTGCATTATTATTTTAGTATAGTTCAGCTTTTATTCTTAACTATTCTTGCAAAGAAGATATTTCTTAATAATGGACAATTTTGCACCTTAAAATTTTATAGGGTATATCTACAATATATAATGTCTTTTTAAAAATGGCAAATAAAGGTGGGCAAGGTGCTCACAGCTGTAATCCCAGCACTTAGGAGGCCTCCAAGATTTCAGGGCCGGCCTGTGTTCCACAGCTAAAAACAGGCCAGCTGGGCCAGAGTGAGGCCATCTTTCAAAAAGAAAAACTTCATATTTGGCTGGGCATGGCTGCACATATCTGTAACCCCAGAATTCAAGGGCAAAAACAAGTGAATTGTTCTAAATGTGAGTACAACCTGGTACACATAGTGAGTTCTAAGCCAGCCAAGGCTATTTAGTAAGATCCTGGCTCTAAATTAATCCTTAATCAATCAAACAAAATAGCAAATCAAAGCCACAAAAACTGTAGAGATTATTCAAAGCCCTCTCCCCAAAGAGCAAAAGAATAATCAAGGACTAAATCCAACAGAACTTTAAAACTTCCCATTTGATAATCATTAACAGCTTGTGGAAGCCTGAGCATACACAGGGAATAAAAATGGACACAAAACCAAGTATCAGACACTTTGGCTAGCTGTCTCGAGAGAGAAAACCTATTTGTGGTTATCTCTTTCTCTTGGCATCCATTCCAAAACTGATGTAACAGTGAATTCCTCTTCTTAAAAATAACAACAGATCACAACTTGAGAGATCCAGGTTGCGCACGCTTCTTTTCTACTTTTACAGTAATGCCAAGAGTGGGTGTCAGGGCCTGCAGGGAGCCCACCGAGTGTCTACCACTGACCAGATGCACAGGCCTATGCAGGCTCTTAGCTGTTGTTACAATGAAGGACATACCCTCTCTCCCCTCCACTACACACAAGGAGTACTTACTCAAAGAGAACCTCACAGAACCTCTGGTCTAGTTTATAACCAGGAAACATAACAGCATTTCAATGAAGGACTGGAGCAGAAAGGAGAAAGCATTCCCCAAGAGACAAGCGAACTGAAAAAGCTCAATTCTTACACTAGGTTTTAAGTTCTAACTTGTGAGAAATCTTGACTTATATGATTAAATTTTATTTTAAAATAAAAGTGTAAACACAGAGCTGGCATCCTCAAATTATAAAAGTCACTTTATTTCTATTCTATTTGTTTTGACTCCATCCTTAGTATAAACAGCTACTAGGAATGAACTAAAACCCATAAAGTGCTC